AATAAATTCATATTTTTATTTACATTTTATCATTTTGCAGACGCTTTTATCCACAGCGACTTAGTCTAACGACTTGGTCTAAGTGAAGTCTAACGCAGTACATGTAGCAAGGGTTTTTGACCTACAGTACATTACATATCTACACGATGACCTACATTACATTACAATGTAAAAACTTTAATGTCTAAATTAATCCGCGATGTTTTCGTCTATACCGGCAACTATCGCCAGGATGCATATCTATGGCAAGCCGTTTTGACTTTTATTCCTTCACGGGATATGAATTCGCCCTGTAAATAGCTAATTATTAAGATATACATCGCTCTCCATTCAATCAGAGTTAGCCTAAATGTCTTTTTGATGGTATCCGTTATGTTTATTTAAATTTAATTGGGGATATTAGATTAATGTCGATCCATTTTGTTTATTTAGATTTTATATTATTCCAATATAGCTATTACAAACATTTTTAATAATAATAAAATAATAAAAAACAACCATTACATTTATATTAAGTAAGACCTCGCTAATAACGCCTCAGTCAGGTCAAAGAAATGTAGTTGCTTTTCATACTATCGTCTGATACAACACTCAAAAAAAGTCTCCCGAGAGAGAGAGAGAGAGAGAGAATGGATGGTTTATGTCTTTAGCCATTTATAATTGGTCTATCTATCTCCAGGGATTTCACTTGCATATAACACACAAAAAATAGAAATGGTCATCTTTGTGTTAATATGCCTTGTCCCCGACCGTGTGTGTATTTATTTGTTGGACATGGGATTAACTGTAAAAAACCCGGTATAACCCGGGATAACAGGTCTATCGGTTATACGGAACCCTGACTGACAGGATTGTTTATCTTCTTTTTATTTTTATATGGTATAAAAAATATGTCCGCATATTTTAGTAGGCCTATAACTTTTATACTCTGTCACGTATAGCAGAGAGTGAGAACGAAAAATAATATTTGATTCATGAACGAATTATTGGCAGAACTGACTATCAGAGGAAAAAATAAACACAATAGTTACACCTAGGCCTGTCACGATAACAACTTTTTGTTGTGCGATATATTGCCCCAGAAATAACAAAAGTCAAAACGGCTTGCCATAGCACAACAGTGCTGTATCCATTATTATAAGGATACAACAAGCACTGTAACATGATTGATATGCAGACGTCGCCCTGTAAATAGCTAATTATTAAGATATACATCGCTCTCCATTCAATCAGAGTTAGCCTAAATGTCTTTTTGATGGTATCCGTTATGTTTATTTAAATTTAATTGGGGATATTAGATTAATGTCGATCCATTTTGTTTATTTAGATTTTATATTATTCCAATATAGCTATTACAAACATTTTTAATAATAATAAAATAATAAAAAACAACCATTACATTTATATTAAGACTTTACCTCTCTAAAAACGCCTCAGTCAGGTCAAAGAAATGTTTTATCAGTTGCTTTTCATACTATCGTCTAATACAACACTCAAAAAAGTCTCCCGAGAGAGAGAGAGAGAGAGAGAGTGCTCTCGTAAGGGAATAGATGGATGTCTTTAGCCATTTATAATTGGTCTATCTATCTCCAGGGATTTCACTTGCATATAACACACAAAAAATAGAAATGGTCATCTTTGTGTTAATATGCCTTGCTTGCGACCGTGTGTGTATTTATTTGTTGGACATGGGATTAACTGTAAAAAACCCGGTATAACCCGGGATAACAGGTCTATCGGTTATACGGAACCCTGACTGACAGGATTGTTTATCTTCTTTTTATTTTTATATGGTATAAAAAATATGTCCGCATATTTTAGTAGGCCTATAACTTTTATACTCTGTCACGTATAGCAGAGAGTGAGAACGAAAAATAATATTTGATTCATGAACGAATTATTGGCAGAACTGACTATCAGAGGAAAAAATAAACACAATAGTTACACCTAGGCCTGTCACGATAACAACGTTTGAATACACTATTAGTTTAAAATCAGAGTATAATATAATTTGTGTAAGCCTATGAAACGCACCTATACCTCCTAATTACAGTTTAATTGACATTAAATACTAGCTTCAATGACAGCCCCACTTTGCGCATGTGCATTAAAATCCAATACTGCGCATGCTCGTCAAACATCCAATACGTATTGGATCTGATCCAGCTATGTCATCGTGCTACAGGCTGCAGCGAGGACCTCTTGGACGATTTTGCTAATTACTTCACGAACAAAACCACATCCATCAGCAGTCAGTTCTCAGTTCCACTCACCTAGGATCTCTCAGCAAACACTCACACAGCTGACCATCTTCTCCTTCTTTCCTCTTACAGAAGATGATGTCTCTTCTCTCCAGCCACCCTACCACCTGTCTTCTAGACCCAATCCCCTCACACCTCCTATTTCCCCTGCACATCTGCACACATCATCAACACGTCTCTTCTCACAGGCATTTTTCCTACCGCATTTAAGCAGGCTCGGGTAACCCCACTGCTTAAAAAAAAACCTACACCTCATTTGTTGAAAGTTACACGCCCGTGTCTCTCCTCCCTTTCATATTTCATAGAAAAATCACTTGAACGCATTGTTTTCAACCAAGTGTCTTCCATCCTCTCACAGAACAACCAGCTGGACAATAACCGAACTGGATTTAAAAGTGACCATTCCGCCATAAAACCGCCTTGATGTCAGTCATTGAAGCGCTACAGAGTCCAAATCTTCAGTTCTCATTCTCCTAGATCTATCTGCTGCATTTGACACTGTTAATCATCAAATTCTTCTGTCCACCCTCTTATCACTGGGCATCACTGGAACTGCACTCCACTGGTTTGAGTCTTACCTCACAGGTAGGTCCTTCAGTGTGGCTTGGGGAGGAGAGGTATCCAAAACACATCAACTGGTCACTGGGGTTCCTCAGGGATCAGTTCTGGGACCCCTCCTCTTCTCTATATACACTACATCACTGGGACCCATCATTCAGGTGAATGGTTTTTCCTATCATTGCTATGCTGACACGCAGCTCTACCTCTCATTTCAACCAAATTATTCAACGGTACCTGCTCAGATCTCAGACTGCCTGACGGACATCTTGGCACGGATGAAAGAGCATCACCTGCAGCTCAAGCTGGCAAAGACAGAACTTCTCATCTTCCCAGCCACCCCTTCAGTACAGCACCAGTTTACCATCCAACTGGGCTCATCAACGATTATCCAATCGAGTTCGGCCAGGAATCTTGGGGTGATCCTTGATGATCAGCTGACCTTTAAAGATCACATTGCAAAAACAGCACGATCATGCGGGTTTGCACTACACAGCATCAGGAAAATCAGACCCTTCCTAATAGAGCATGCAACACAGCTTCTCGTCCAGACCCTTGTCATTTCTAGGTTGGACTATTGCAATGCTCTTCTGGCTGGACTTCCAATGTGTGCAATCAGACTGTGCAAATGATTCAGAATGCAGCAGCACGTCTTGTTTTGAATGAGCCCAAGAGCCCATGTTACACCGCTTCTCATCTCTCTGAACTGGCTTCCAGTTGTGGCTCGCATCAAGTTTGAGATTAGTGCTTGCCTACAAAACTGCCAATGGCTCCGCACCCTCCAACCTCCACTCTCTCCTATGCATCTACACCAACCTCCAGAAGCCTGCGGTCGGTAAATGAGCGGCGGCTAGTGGTCCCATCGCAGAGAGGCACAAAATCACTCTCAAGGAAATTTTCTTTCACTCAAATTTTTCTTTCTTTCACATTGCTTATATTCCTCAACTGTAAGTCGCTATGGATAAAAGCGTCTGTCAAATGAATAAATGTAAATGTTCCACCATTTGTCTGTAACGATGAGGGCTGATAATGAAGGACACAGATGTGCAATGTGAAATTTCACAGTAGGAGAAAAAAATATATGTTGATTTAAAACTCCCACAAAACATGCTGAATATGTATCTTTGATTTGGTTAAATTGAGCTCTGTTTTCAGAGGTTAAAGAATGAATGGAGCATGTGCTGCTTTGCTATGTTGCTAGGATGCAGCTTGGGCATGAGTGACTTTTTTGCCATGGAAATTACAATGCTAATGACAAATTTGTGCATGGTGTTGAGCAATAATATCGTTTTAAGACCTAAGAATTTCCAAACACGGAAAGACTAAGCATGGATTTACAGTGGAATTATGAGTGGCAGAAGAAAGCGCAGAGAGACAGAAACACTTTTTTCTCCCACATATCCCAACAGCTGCGACACCCTTGCTTAAGGTGGATACATTTCTTTCTCTTACAGGGACTATGCTAATTCTTCCATTCACTCCAAATTATGTCTTTTTCCTTTCAGATAATCCCTCTATTTCTCAGCCACATCCCTCATTAGTCTTTCTGCTCATTCTCTCTATCTGCCTCTCTCTCATCTAATTTCCTGTCTTCAACTCTGTGTTCATCCTCTTGTTTCAAGTCTCTTTCCAGCTTCTCCTCTCATTTCAGCACAAGTTATTACTTTGTGGTCCCCACAAGCATTTCATTTCACAGTACAGTAAACACTAACATCTCCCCCTACTCCACACATCAATCTATACCTGAACTACACATTTCCAGTGTATTTAATGTCTGTTACTTATATGCACACCCTGTCATTAAAGTGGCCCCTCATTAGGTTACAAGAAGCACACAGTATCATAAGAACTCTTTTCAGGTCGAGTGTGTGAATTTCTGGGTGGCCTCATTGCAGACTGATTGAAAGGGGATGAAAAAGGTGGTGAGAGACACTGTGATGCCAGCCAAGACTTCGCTAGCTAGAGGCTAATCGTGTATCATTCGGAGGAATCTGTAAGGAGTCACTGACCATACATCGTCCCTTAGCAGTAAGTGAGAAACAGAAATACAGTGTCTGAGCACTGAAAAATCAGACAACAAGCCCTTAGTACGTTCTGACTAGTTGTTAAGATATCAGACAAAATTGATATTTTCGGACAGGATCTGGTGTCTGGGGCTGGCATAGAGACTTGATCTAACAGTCACAGAGCTTATTTTCAGCAATAATCCAAAAGCAAATGGAAAAATCCTTTTTGGTTTTTGGGCAAGCTAATTTGTATGATGTTAACTTATGGGTTGGCCAACAAAAATACTGCACACTGCAGCACTCTATAGCAAACTGGTCATATTGGGCAAAAAGAAGTACGTTTTAAAGCACCACCAGCAGAGCAAAGTCAAATGGCTTTCTGGTGCTGCCAAACATCTGTTGCCGTTTGGTTTGTAATGCTTAATCAAAGCAGAGCTTTAGGCCTACACTTAAAGGAATCCTATCTTTTATGCGAGAAACTGAGCCAGCTCTGTAATCAGGTGCCATTTAATCACATGACTTAAATACTGAATGCAAAAAATGATTCAGAATGCAGCAGCACGTCTTGTTTTGAATGAGCCCAAGAGCCCATGTTACACCGCTTCTCATCTCTCTGAACTGGCTTCCAGTTGTGGCTCGCATCAAGTTTGAGATTAGTGCTTGCCTACAAAACTGCCAATGGCTCCGCACCCTCCAACCTCCACTCTCTCCTATGCATCTACACCAACCTCCAGAAGCCTGCGGTCGGTAAATGAGCGGCGGCTAGTGGTCCCATCGCAGAGAGGCACAAAATCACTCTCAAGGAAATTTTCTTTCACTCAAATTTTTCTTTCTTTCACATTGCTTATATTCCTCAACTGTAAGTCGCTATGAATAAAAGCGTCTGCCAAATGAATAAATGTAAATGTTCCACCATTTGTCTGTAACGATGAGGGCTGATAATGAAGGACACAGATGTGCAATGTGAAATTTCACAGTAGGAGAAAAAATATATGTGGATTTAAAACTCCCACAAAACATGCTGAATATGTATCTTTGATTTGGTTAAATTGAGCTCTGTTTTCAGAGCAGGGAATAAATTGAGAACAGGATTGTTGTTTTGGGAAGAGATACCCTAAAGCAGACTGCTGTGTCAAAAGCTGTCAAGTTGGGGAAAAGAGAGACTTCAGAAGTCAAAAACACTGCAACACCCAAATATCTTTGTCCCTGGACCCAACATCTGTCTCACAGTGATATAATGTTATAAACATAGATGCTACTTTTTATAATTATGGGTTTAGAGCTCATAGATTACATTTTAAGGGGATGGAAAGAGTAAATTTAAAACATATTTACATACTGATTGCTTTGTGATAATAATAAATTATGATAAATTATTGATGTGATAAAAAACTTCAAAAGCCTCCTCGTGCACCAATGTCACATTTTCTATTCATTAATCAATCCAGTCCCAATTTGGTACTTGGCTCTTCTCACCTTCAGTAAAAACACTGCAACACCCAAATGTCTTTGTCCCTGGACCCAACATCTGTCTCACAGTGATATAATGTTATAAACATAGATGCTACTTTTTTATAATTATGGGTTTAGAGCTCATAGATTACATTTTAAGGGGATGGAAAGAGTAAATTTAAAACATATTTACATACTGATTGCTTTATGTGATAAAAAACTTCAAAAGCCTCCTCGTGCACCAATGTCACATTTTCTATTCATTAATCAATCCAGTCCCAATTTGGTACTTGGCTCTTCTCACCTTCAGTGCAACAGTTGTCCCATGAGTAAAGAGTGACATGCTTGTCTTTAACTTCTCAAATTAGGCCAGCCCTGCTAGAGCTAATAGCTTTTCGCTTAAGAGGCCATAGGAGCTAAAAACGCAATTATGTTCCCTGAATTCTCTCTTGGTGACAGAAGCTAAATGGCCATTTCTGTAGCCACCAGTCAATTTCTGGCCTACATATCGGCTGCCTTCTTTATCTGTAACCTGCCATTTATGGAAACACACTCTACGTGTCAGTGTCATTTGGTTCTGGAGAAGGACAGGCCAAATATAGGTACAGCTAAATGGCAAAGTATTGGGCTGAGATGCTTGTTTTTGCTTTGTGGAATATGCACTCTACTCAAGTTATTTTCCAATAATCTAAAAAACACAGAAATTGGATACATATTTCTAACAGGAAGACAATATTTAATATTAAATCATCTCATTATAGGGAGATATTATTTTTAAGTGTAATTTTTTTTAATGTAAAGGGTAAAACAAATTATATAAATACATTAAAGTGGCCCCTCATTAGGTTACAAGAAGCACACAGTATCATAAGAACTCTTTTCAGGTCGAGTGTGTGAATTTCTGGGTGGCCTCATTGCAGACTGATTGAAAGGGGATGAAAAGGGTGGTGAGAGACACTGTGATGCCAGCCAAGACTTCGCTAGCTAGAGGCTAATCGTGTATCATTCAGAGGAATCTGTAAGGAGTCACTGACCATACATCGTCCCTTAGCAGTAAGTGAGAAACAGAAATACAGTGTCTGAGCACTGAAAAATCAGACAACAAGCCCTTAGTACGTTCTGACTAGTTGTTAAGATATCAGACAAAATGGATATTTTCGGACAGAATCTGGTGTCTGGGGCTGGCATAGAGACTTGATCTAACAGTCACAGAGCTTATTTTCAGCAATAATCCAAAAGCAAATGGAAAAATCCTTTTTGGTTTTTGGGCAAGCTAATTTGTATGATGTTAACTTATGGGCTGGCCAACAAAAATACTGCACACTGCAGCACTCTATAGCAAACTGGCCATATTGGGCAAAAAGAAGTACGTTTTAAAGCACCACCAGCAGAGCAGGCTTTCTGGTGCTGCCAAACATCTGTTGCCGTTTGGTTTGTAATGCTTAATCAAAGCAGAGCTTTAGGCCTACACTTAAAGGAATCCTATCTTTTATGCGAGAAACTGAGCCAGCTCTGTAATCAGGTGCCATTTAATCACATGACTTAAATACTGAATGCAAAAAGCAGAATCCTTTCACTGTGGCAGCTCATACCTGGTGATCTCCTCCTTTAGAGCAGCCGGATCTGGTGGGTAGAACTTTACCCGCAGACACATGGTGAATGGAGGTTGTGCTGTGTTGAGAAAATTAACATGGTTGAGAACCACTGCCTCAATCAGTAACTTAATCTGATTTAGTACTTGCTGCCTTAATATAATACATACTACACACTGTGTAGTGTAATGCCTTAATCTAAACACCTTTAAAACAAGTTTACTTGAGAAGCAAGATTGCAATACATATTATACTATTTTGCAATATGTATAAATATGCAATATACCGGTTTTCACAGAATATATCCAGAATTAAGTTCATATTTCTTATCCAACTGACCTTTTTTTTCCCTGTTTTTTTTTTATGTAGACCTAACACAATTTTGAGATGTTTATCATTAAAATGGCTTTTTACATACACTGTAAAAATGCTATCTATGGTAACAATATTGCAATATTTTTGAATAGTTTTTAAGGCTTGATTTCTTTAATCGAATCTACCTGAATGAATCATGTAAAATATCCTAAATTATTGAATCTATGGCACAATTAATTTAATATTACTAGTGAAATGTGCTCATTTATTTTAAGTTGATTCTCAAATGTCTGTGATTTCGAGTAAAGCCTGGAAATTGTAAATTGTAGGTTGTTCTCTAATTTTGATCTCCACTGTATATTCTAATTTGTATACAGTACTTTGTACTTGTACTTCAATATTATAATAAAACTATTTTGGAGAAGTAATACTAAAAATGAATGATTCATGCTGTTTATGCCCTATAGTTTCAATTGGACCCCAAAGTACAAATTATGCAGGTCAAACAATTATACAAACAACTATACAATCTTTCAACAGATTACAGTTTCACATCTTGTGAAGTCATGACAATTGTGCTTTGTTTGTAATGAAAGTAACTTCAATGAGAAACTCCCCACTGTTTTATCATTTAATTGCTCCATTCTGGCAGCTAGCACACTATAAATAAGATCTGATTGATGATACTTACATTTCATCTGCTTAGAAATTGACTTGGTAAACTCCAGCCAGTGCTAAAACAACAGAGGAGAAAGTTTTAATTCCACACTCACTCTCTCTCTTTCACACACACTCACACACACACACACACTCACTCTCTCTCTCTCTCTCTCTCTCACACACACTCTCTCTTTCACACACACTCACACACACACACACACACACACACACGTACACACGTACACACTTATTACATCTATATTTCATCTAACACATAATTACTGTACACAGGAGGAGGTGGTCAGTGTGGGTAGATTTACAGAGATTTTATATCAGTATGAGTGTGAGATGGGGGCAGGGTAGATATATTAATCATTTCATCTCATTTCTTTCTTCTCCAGTGCGAAACATTAGCACATCTTCAACGTCATGCTGAGATTCTATCACTGCTATTGTATGCAGCCTCAGATAAGACAAATCAGCCAAACTGAGCAATTGGATTTGAGAAAAAGTATATTTGGGTCTTAGTGCCAGTAGGCTAATGTCTAGAAATAGCATCAGACTGGATTTGATTTCAGATTATAGTGATCTGGAAAGCTTTTTGGGCAAAATTTCTCAGACACATTATTGTATTCTGGACTGTCAGCTAATCTGTGCTATATTTTGCCAACTAGGAATATACTAAAGGGAACTGTGGGCACTCAGTAGACGCTAAGGTTGTCCCAGTGTGTCGTCTACAGAAGACTAGCATCAGTTAGATGCCCTCATTATTATTTATGTCACTCAATGCGAGAAGCTCCCAAAGGGGGTCAGTCAAAAAGACAGACAGGAAGAAACTCTAAAGTATGTGTACGTAAAGCTTGTGCACTGTCAGTGAACACAGATCAGCACAGATCTCTAATTCTAGAGATAGACTGTATTTCCTTACAGGAGCTATACTGAATGTTCATCTACAATCTTTAGATTTTTATATAATTCAATTATTTTTTATTACAATTTTAAATATACATTTCATATTTACAAAAATGTAATTTGTTAATATAAAATGTATTTTTAACATTTGAAACGGTATTGTTATTGTTAACTAAAGCTACAAAAAAGCATTTTCATGAATTGAAATAAAGATGAAATAAAATATTAGATTATACAAATATTGATTAAATAAACAAATATTAGATGAAAAACGTTAAACCTAAATAAAAAAGTAGAAATTAGAAATGTTGCCTTGGCAACTAACTGATAAAAAATAAGTTGATGTACTAAAATTGCTATAACTAAAACTAAAATAAAAATGTTAGGCTAAACAGAAATTCCAAGTATTTAAACATTGAATTTTTTTGCTAATAAAAAATTTCTTGTTTTAAGCAGTGTTGTTATTGTTAACTAAAACAATTCAAATAAATTCTGTTAATTGAAATAAACCTGAACTAAAATAGAATATTAGATCATTCGGTCTCTTTCAGTGACACTCCCTGATTACTCCTGAATGACCCTCAAAGTCAGTCTGGATCTGGAGGCAGGATCAGTACAAACATAGCCCACCCATAATGCTCATGAATTCATCACTTATTAGGCATCACAACCAATATGCTCGAAGAAATGAAAGCCACTTCAAGGATCCTGACAGATGCAGCTTTCTCATAATAAAGAAGTTATGGATGTGTATGCTGAGATGATTGGTGCTCCGCATTACCATTGACCTTGGACTGTTCGACACAAGCCTCATGGTGGGACACTCACCCGTTGCTTATCCGGATCTACATATCTAATGCCAAAATAGTCTTTCTCCAGTAGGTTTAGATGGTGGCAAATGAGGTCGAACAAATACTGGCCTTTGGCATCCCTCTGAAAGACAAAGAGAATAACAAATTATCAATAGAGAAGATGATTATCATTTGTTTGGGCATGTTGTTTATTTTTGATCCAAAGAAAAAAGGTGGAAGAACTGAAGACCAGCCAAATAAAACAAAAATTTAGTGAACTGAGTAAAGCAGGGGATTTTAATTACTATTACTCTGATAACAATTCATTTGGAGAGATTCTGTATATCCAATATTAATTCAGAGAGATTTGCAATTTCCATTTCTCTTCCATGACCTTTTGTAGTCATATAATATAGAATTTATTTAAAGGGGTCATATGATGCGATTTAAATTTTTCCTTTCTCTTTGGAGGGTTACAAGCTCTTGGTGCATAAAGAAGATCTGTAAAGTTGCAAAGACTAATGTCTCAAATCCAAAGAGATATTCTTTATAAAAGTTAAGAGTCAGCCACACCTACCTAAAACGGGGGGCATAGAGGAGAAACAATAATGTACAGTATGTGGAAAATAATGTGTTTTTTTAACCTTAAACCGCATAAACACATTTCATTACACCAAATACACAAAATAATGTTCTTTTTAGCAGCCTCATATGACCCCTTTAAAAAATTCCGGAGACTGTAGGGATGAATTTCTACTTGTATGCCAGGTAACAAACAGACGTAAGCATTATTAGTGTACAAATGTCTCCAATAAAACCACAACAAACAGACTGATTTTATCACAGTGATATGCAGCATGTTTTACTCCACAAATGCATCATCTACCTGATTAAATATTTTAAAGCAGAGCAAAGCTAGAAACATTTCTATTCTCTATAGTAATTTCCATTTTTAAATGTTTTTAAATGTATATTTTCCAAGCCTGGAAAAACCACGACAGAAAACTGAGAGTCTGTCATTATTTCTATCATTATTTTGCTATTCTTAATAGGTCATTTGCAACAGGACACAAATTCTACAATGTTTTCATAGTCCCACTGTATTTGTCTAGGCTGCAGTCTAAACTACTCCATATCCGTGTACCAGTTCAACTCTTCATACAGAGAAAATGAGCTGGGAGAAAAAAATAAGATTCCATAAACCTGAAGTCACTTTTTCTGTCTCACCCCACCTCTATTATCACACTCATTTGAATTCGGAATCCATTTTCCCTCAAACAAACAATATCACAGCTTTACGCTGTAGCAGTATTTTTTTTTCTGGAATTGTACGTGATCAGAGTTTGAATTGCAAAACAAGACAATTCACCCTAAGTAGCAAGTCTTCAGGCATGAGTGATTTATTCTGGATTAAGACTTACTGCAAGTACTTGGCAAGCCATATGCACCCTAGACAACTCATTCTGTTACACTGAGCTTTGGACAGTACGCTTACAGTAAGTGTACAGTCAAAGGTATTATAGCTGATCAATGAGAATCATGGGAATGAAACTCTACTTTGCAATTAAAAGTCAAACTTGCATTTCTTTGAAATTTCAGGTTGATCTTTTAACTGAATAGTTGCCCCTGTGAATCACTGTTTACATGCAACCTAATAATCTGTTAATAATTTGACTGTTAGCTTGATCTGAATGATATGGATCCAAATGGTGGTGTAGATCTTACGGAATCACTCCACATTAAACAGCGCCAAAACGGCATTTGTTGTTTGAATACTGCCATACAATGGACAGAATTTGAAATCTGAGACTTTGTTTCATATTAAAAGTACCAAAGCAAAATGCTTATTGCGATATATTGGATGGGAAGTGCCCTTCAACGTTCCGTCCATTAACTGAAAACAGGCTAGACTAATCGATTCTTGGGATTTAAGAATCGATATCGTTCCGTAAAAATGAGAATCGATTAATATCGAGATATCGATATTTTTAACCCAGCCCTACTTAAGAGTTTCTTTCACTCACACACACACACACACACACACACGTATACAGAAATGGAAAACATACACTGAGGAGAGCATACACATTCTGCATCTCACAAAAATTCACAAAAAAAAATCCAGTTCTAATCTCAAGTTCTCTGCATGACAATTATGAAAATCTTTCAGTAGAAAACTTTTATGTTTCTATTTTGGGTAAATGAGCAGATGGAGGGCAGTGAACCGTGAGCGCATGCGTCTACCTGATGCCAAATAGAACATTCTGTGGGTGTCTAGAGACGACTGGATATCTGTGTAACACACAGCCTTCACGCAGGACTGCTGGAACCCAATAAGACTGCCAAAGGGGACAAAACAGGAGAAAGACGTGCCCCTATTTGAGAACAGGTCAGACCACCCCCACAGAGATGCAGAGATGTGCAAATCTCAGCAAGCAGATAAGGTGAATTTTTATTATTACCACCAATGTGAGAATTAATAATAAAAATAATAACAATAATAATATTATTATTATGCCATGATTATTTTGTATTATTATTTGTATATAATATTTTTGTTATTTATACATTAAATCAAATTATTATTGTTGTTATTGTTATATAGCACCTTCTTAGACTATATAATAACAAGCATTCATAAAAAATAAAGTAATAATAATAAATATTACTACTACTACCATTTATTATTATTATTATTATTATTATCTGACATGATTACAATATTTATAAATTAAATCTAATTATTATTATTATTATATTAACATTTATTATAATCAAATTAAATTATGTTTACATTATTGTTAATAATAAACTATTATTATTATTTTTATTATATGATCAGGATCCGCACATTAAATAATGCATTAGATAAGGTTAATAAATTGAATAGACATGATCTTTTGAAAATAGATAAGCCCATTAAAAAAACAAAGAACATTTTCAGTAAATACTTTTCAAATCACCGTGCAACTTCAGTAATATATTATTATATCGGGACTCATGGATCACCCATTTAACAGTTCATCTATTGCCAAAATAATTATTGCAATATTGCGTACTACTTCCTGTTTTCCATTGAGAACCAACACATGTTGAATGATATTCATTAACATGAAGTTTTTCACCTGGAAAGCAATTTTTCAGGATCCTTCGATGAAGAGAAAAGAATACCATTTATTTGAAATGAAAAATCTTTTATAACATTATAAATGTCTTTACAGTAACATTGGATCAATTTAATGCATCTGTGCTTAAAAAAAATCTTACTGATGACAAACTTTTGAACATTAGTGTGTTTGTGTGTGTGTGTGTGTCTGTGTGTGTATTGTTTAAGC